GAGCTGCCCTGTGCGTGGGGGGTGGAGGGCAGGACGGCCGGGTGGATGTTGTTGATTTTCTTGTGGGAATCCGAGGTGGTGGATGCCGCGGGCGCAGTCCCTTCTGACGGCCCCTCGCTCTCCTCTGGACCCTTCCCCCCTGCCAGCAGGGCAGATAGCCTAGGATTGTCTGCGCTAAGGCTCGGCTTGTCGCCGCCTTCTACCACTTTGCCGCCATCCGAGTGGATGTGATTGGCTAGGCCGTCCCCCTGCGCTGCTTTGCCATCAGCTGATGGCAGCGGCGACGGTGTCTTGACCTCAGAGTTCCCGTTGCCGAGGGACGCGGCTGTGGCGTTGCCATCTTTGGTAGCGGACACACTGGGTCCTGCTCCACCTGAGGTAGAGGAGTGGGGGAGGGAGGGCGGGGACGGGAGGTGGTTATGAGGCCGCGGCGACGGGGCATTAGTGGAATGTCCAACCTGATTGTTGGGGTGCGCGAGGGTGGTGGAGTTGGGGGTCTCGGGGTGAGAGAGGGTCCCCTCACTGCTGGAGCCATGTGGAACAGACCCCTTCTGAAGCCCCTGAAGGAAAAAGAGCACAGCTGTTAGGAAGTGCACTCGTAGGCGGTAACCATGGACACGTGTGGCTGTAATTATGATGTGTAAGCTGGGCTTTTATACAAGAACGCTGTTAGGTACCTCTCTGCTGACGCTGGCTCTGTGTCTGAGGGCTCCTTTAGTGCCTTCTTTTCATTCTCTTCCTGCAAACAAACCAAAAAAGTGTGAGTTCAGGGTTATAGTCGAGCTGAATCTTTCTCTACAGTCTCTGAAGTGACAGGAAAAGTGGAACTGACCCGCAGGGACTCTTGGAAGGAGGCGGCCTGATACTGGGCGTATTTGGCGATGGTGGTTTGGGAGCGGGCGCTCTCACAGCGCCACATTTTCTTGGTGCCGGTCGGATCCCAGTTCTCATCGGCGGGCTGGGAGAGCTGAGTCCAGACCTCCACCAGGTGCTCTGGATTGGCCTCGACCAACGTCTTTGTGGAAAACAGACCCAAGTCTGTGTGAAGAAACACACCCGCACACAGTTGAAGCTCCGATCAACTCTGTGACGGCAAACACACACACACACGTTTGTAACGGAGCCATTTACCCAGTTTGAGAGCTCCGTCCTTTTGATTAGCAGACGACCCGCTCTGCCTAC